AGTTTGCAACAAGAGCAGGAAGGCAGTCGTGTAATACAGTTTTACAAATCTCTTCTCAAGTAACAGGTTTAAATTTAGTTCTTCCTTGACTGACTCTTCCTTGGACTATAGCTCCAAAGATGCGGTTCTGCCTTCCGAGTATTTAACCACAGGAGTGCCTAACTGTAGTAGTCCAGCTTAAAATTAAACCTCTTGTTCATATTTAGGTAAAGGTGGGTTAGGAAGGCCCAGAGTAACTGAAACCCAGCTTTTGGATTGTAGCTGGTGCAGATTTACTCATCCTCTCAATGACAGTCACAGAAACTTATTTCTTCTTACTTGCCCTGTCTTGAAGGGAAAAAAAAAAAGCCCTGGAAAAGCAATATTTACCCCCAAACAAGTTGGTACGCTCTCTATGCACGTCCCTTGCACCACGAAGGTCCTGTTTTGCAGAACAACGTTCCGTGGCTCTTCGAAGACACTCAGGCTGAGCTCTTTGTGTAGCACCTACGGATACCGGCAGAACTCTCGGTTTGCTCAGAGCCTCTGCAGCCAAGTTCCCAGCGAACTGGGAGCCTGCCCGTGCAAATGCAGTTGCTAAACTGCAAGAACTTTTGAAAGGAAAAGGAGTTGGAAATTAAAAGCGTGCTCAAGGCACGTCTGACAGCCACTTGGGCTAACAATTCTGTGTTTGCAACTTAAATAAACCCACCCAAATATATACAGTGCCCTGGGAAGCAGATGTGAAAATGGGAGCACAGAGCAGCGCTGTTACACAGCGGGAAGTCTGAGTGACCAGGGTGTCAAGTAATGCCCGCTCGTTACATCAGTGCAGGGTTCTTGGCCATGGACAATCCATCACAATCACAGATTAAAACTAAACCGCCTTTAAAAAAGGAAAACCTTTTGCCAAGCTGATCTGGTTTTTGTTACGCAAAGTACTGCTGTCAGGTTTGGATAAATCAAGAGCTAAGTTTTTGTGCTTCTTGATTTCATTCTTCCCCTGAGTTCACATTTTCCATTTGCAATGTGTCTCAGAGGTTCTGAGATTTCACGCTGTCCATCCACACGCTATTAAGCGTTACGAGTCTGATACTGTTGCCTCATAAGTGGAGTTTTGCTCTGGACTATGCTCAAAGGGACCAGGTTTCTGTTTAACTTCTGACCCTGACCAAAGCCAGGCTGTGCCCAGCCTGGCGCGAAAAGCCCCGCTTGGACACCTCACCGCTTTCCCAGGGCCTCACACGGAGTCAGGATCATGAATAAAGATACAACAAACATCCTACTGAGTAATTCTAAATTCCAGATGACATCCCCTTCTAGATTAAAACTGCGTAAAAGTAAGCGTCTGCATAAGCAAAAGGTGAGTGGTTTCAAAGCGCACGTAGGTGCCACCTGGAATTCAAAGGGACGTGACATCAAGAAAGTGCCATTTCTTTCCATTGCTTGGTCATCTTAGTACCTGCTAGATTTTGCAGTTTGTAGTAACTGCCTTTCTTTTTCCTCATCTATCTTTAATTAGGAGCCAAATCTGTCTCAATCTGTTGCTTGCTTCTTCCTACTGGAAGTGAGAACAGTGAAAAAATAACCGCGCAAAACCAGGAATGGAGCACCTACATTTTGTTAAACTGATTGTCTTATCTTATTCCCTTCAGTGCATTTACGTCACTTTTACGCCTACCAATATTTACCATTCCTTTTGACTAATTCCTCAGTCCTGACAAAAGTGCTAGGACACACAAGGAACTAGGGAGCGGAAGAATTAAGCCCACAAGGCCCTCTACATCAGAGAAGCTCATTGTTTCAGGAGTCTGAAGCGAAATCCTACAAAACCAACGTGATGCAGATTTTGACCAAAGCAGAGCAGCGGGCTAATGCTGGTAATAAGTTTGCACTGGAAGCCTGTAAACCAGCTCAGGAAAAAAAAAATCTAGATAAAATGCTCCCGGAATCTTTTCAAACAGCATCTGTTTAAAAGAATTCTTTACACACAGTTACAATTTCTTTTCAGAGCTAGTGGGTCACTGGTACATACAGAGGTGAAGCAATCCAGTTTATCTAACGGCCACAAGCTTCTTCAAACGTGACAAAAGGAAGCCAGAAAGAGGAGGAATGTCAGGAAGAGAATGCTGTTGCCTAAGACAACCGTTTTTGGCTGGAAGGCTAGGATGGAGCAGCCTTAGGGCTATGAATTGATGTGGGGAAATAAGATCATATTTTTCATTATAGACCACATTATAAATTGATGATGGGAAAAATAAGATCTTTGGAGAGATTCAGTTGAGCTAAGAGAAGGCACAGGGGGATGCTGGCTTCTTCATTCCAACTTAAGCCACAGCATTTCTGATGATGGTCTGAGCAATCACAAGGGTTGGATTTTTAGTAATTTATCTGGATATTGCTAGAACTTTACTCCCTGTTAGCAGGAGAGATAAGCGGATGCATTAGCTCACTTCCTTGAGATGAAGCACTCCAGCTCTTGCTGACCAGCCCTGAATCACTGCCATGACCCCGACCAATTGGCATCGCTCATCTTTGAAGGGACACGCAGCTCCGGAGGAGCAGGAACAGGAAGGCGAACAGGAGGAGAGGGATGACAAGCAGGAAGGGGGCTTCCAAAGGCCAGCTGATCCTTTCGTTCCCTTATGGGGACTACTGTCGTTCTAAAAGTTATTTTGTCTTCCCTGATGGGCACAATGGCACGGCAACGAGAATCAGTTGACTCTTTGGAGGAAGAGCGAGCCGTTACAACAGTGCCATGAATAAATCCAGATGTATTCTAGAAGCTGACTCATAAAATAATTAGCAGATATGCTTTTTCAGAGCACTTGTCCCTGCCCTCCAGTTAAGCTTTGTCCAACACTATTTGATAAAAAAACCAACTCAACACTACCCTAAACCAACACAGTCCTAAAGTGCAAGAAGCCCTCTTCATAGGACGTCGACCTCCCCTCCAGTCTGTCACTAGATGCTTGGTTGCTGGCCTGAAAGTCTTGATATCATGGGAAAAAAACCCACATATATTGGGAGCTCCTAAGCGATTTGGCAGAAGATAACTGGTATTTCGACATCCAGCTTTTACAAGGGGCAATATGGATATTCCATGAGCTCTTCAGATGATAATATCAGTGGGGTGTTTAAATCCACCACAACGAGAATTAAAAATTAATAAAGAATAAATGTTTTTGAACTCTCACTTGTCACGTTTTAAAGACACTCAGAACTTAAAAACTATTAATTGTAGGATGGATTAGTCAAACTCATTAAACCCCAACCTAGATATTCCTTCTCAGAATGTAACAGCAGCCTTAATTTTTGTGTTAATTTATGTTGGATTTTTTTTTTTAAATCATTCAAGTTAGTGTACCCCCACAGCTCTGGATGGAGCAAGAATTTGGGGCGGGCTCAGTTAAGCATCCTGCACCTCACCGTGATGGAAGAGATCAATTACTGCCCAGCTTAGTCAAGTAATTTGAGTCAGCGTTGGAAAGATGCGTCCTATGATCACAAGCTCCAGTCCTGCTGCATTAAGATGCGAGCTCCATGCTATAACTTGCATGGATTTTATGGTTTTCTTACCCTTAACACTATTTATTGATTTTCATTTCAAACCACACAGTTCTATCAGTTGTACTCGCTGACTTCCCCCGAAGTTAATGACAAGACCTATTCTCTTAGGGATCCAGTGTGGTCACTCTGATAACCTCGTGCTTTATCTCTTATGACTCATGTTGTTTGCTCTCATTCCACACAGCTCAATATTTGTTTACACTCTGGATTAATTCATATTAAAGTTTCTTGCTCTTTCCCGTAATGAATATTTTGCATAAATGGGATTTTTCTAAGTAGATAGATTTGCTTCTTTTAAGGGTAAAAGAAAAGCTAGAGAGGACTCACCGTTTTTAGTCAAGAACCCACTTTCCCAGGGAATACCACTCCAGGTTTGTTACCCGAATGCAGAATCTGAAGGAGTATTGCTCAGCTCTGACCACAACTACAAGCTTTTATAAGGGTTTGCAAGTGGGGTATCTGTGAGATTAGTGGGGATAAAGGAATATTTCAGAGTGTTCAGGGGATAAGCAGAGATTGTACTGATTGTGTCACGCTGAGCTGACGTTTGTTCGCTTTCTACTTTTACCCAAACAAGTTTTGTCCAGTCACAGGGTGGACAAAAATAAACGGAGTGGCACCTCATCACTCATTCCTTCCCGTCACCACCTCTGCTGCTACGAGCGCTTGGTTGGCCCTACGGCCCAATCACAGCCTAGATTTACCATGAAGGGTAACATCGAGTTGCCTAGGTAAAAAAATAGACAACTATGAAGTTGTACAGACCCTAAAATCCTTTCTTTAGAACGAATCAGAACAGAGCGCTGGGACCACAGTTCTCCAAGCCAAGAGGAAGCTTCTCTCCGATATCCCTGGACCCTTCCTGCACACTCACGAGGGGAGATTCCAAACAGCTGATGCCTCTATATGAATCTTTAAAGCAAAATTCTTTTAGATGCACTTCAGAACGTTTAGATGTACTTCAGCCCTGGCCAGCTGCCTGGCTCAGCAATAGAGCAGGGGAAAAAAGACCAGCTCTGAGCAGAAATCCTCAGAATCCTTGAGAGCTCTTCCAAGAGCAGAACCACCAGAGTTCCTGCACAGGGAGGCTGGAGTTCAGCATCACCAGCCTTTCCCTGGTTCTCGAGTAGAGGTAGCACGTTTCATTAAGGAGCTGGGACGCTTCCAAAAAACCACACATAGCTTTTCAGGCCCATAAAGCAGAACATAATTACACCAGATAAAAAATAAATATTCGTTTGCAATTTTGGAACACATGAAATCATGAAATTTCCTGGATGTGAGTCTTCTGCGTATTGACTTTGACTGTGCTACGTGAAGATGTAATAGCCGGATGTTTGTAAGCTCCTCGCACCTGGCAGCCTCACCTGGAGGAGGAGGGTGGAGGAACTTTACTATGCAAATTACTTCTCTGAGGAGTCAGTCCGGAGGATATAAATATTAATGGAATCATGTCAAGCAGTTCTCTGATAAATTACTCCCACCAAAGACACATGGAATCCTATGCTCTGGCTCTAGTAGCAGGAATTCTAGTCGGTTTTGTATTGCTGGTTTTAATTGCAACTTATGGCAAGTCTTTCAAGGCAGAGATCCCTCCCGACGTGGACCAGCCCTCAAAGCTCTGCCTATACCACTGCGTATACACTCTGATGGAAATTCTGGTGAGTTTATCTGGCTTGTGATATTGTGATTTTCAAGAAAGGAACAACCTGAGTAGAGCTATGAAGATACGCATTTAAATATTACAGCTATGTGTAACGGGAATCCCATAGCAACACAGGTTTAAAGATAAAGGCCAAAGTTTGATTTGCTATTCTGTTACTGAACACAAAATCAGTCGGTAGGAGATGAGTTCTTTCAAATACTGAGATATGTATTCTTACGCCGCAACTGTAATTTGATTGTCTTCTATAATGAAATGATTGCTCCTGTGGATGACAGAAGAGGTGTGGATATAATTTTTATGAAAAATAATAACTAAACCTTCTGTATCTTAATGCACTTTGATATATTTAAGGCACTTTCCTAAATTTTAGAACTACCTACAGTAATTCTCTTACTTGTGATTCCGTTCTTATTTCCACAGTGACTAAATTACCGTATCTTAGTTAAATATCATGGAATCACATAGGTTGGGAGGCACCTCCAGAGGTCATCTAATCTAACCTGCTGGCCAAAGCAGGTTCAGCTGGACCTGCCAGCACTTATTTAAGAACTTGTAAGGCAGACCCCCTGGGCTGTGTGCTTTGACATCAGGGAAAGAAACAGCTCTTGCCCAAAAAGCTTTCCGAGCAGGCAACAGGAGCACGCGGGAGCAGCCTAAGCCCTGCAGCATCTGTCAAAAGGAAGGCTGCAGGTACATCAGGGTGGTTTCACTCATGTTTGTACAGAGCGCATCTCACGTGAAGGCATTCTCTCGTGCCCTACTTATACATCATGAACAGAGTTTATCAGTCATAGTTTCAGGCCCGCAGCTGTAAGGGGGATTTGTGGCGCCATCAAAGACTTTGGCATGTTGCGTGGACTTACCCAGCACCACCCACCAAACCCAGCAATTGCCCTTGGTGCTGCGCTGGCCTCGGCCACACGTGCCCTTCTGCACCGCCTGGCATGAGAGAGGAGTCTGCCCTCCTTACATCTCTCACACTGCTTTTCACGCTAAGCTATATATAAAATTAATACAATAATGTGATTATAATACGATAATAAGACTGTGTGTTATTAAGTTCTTTATGTTTCTATACTGGGCTGGATGAAAACATTCTTTCAGATGATTCTTTTTACCCACTTTTACAGCTTCTAAGTGGCTGTTATGCAATGGCACATATTCTCTCTTCACTGCTAATATGTTCCATAAATTTCAGCTTCCTTTTCCTGGATAGTTTTAAAGATGCATTTCACCATTTACCATGCATCGAATCTATTTCTCTTCTTTTTTTCCAAAACTTTAAGACATCTGCTGGCACTTCTGGTGATTTTCTACCTTTATGTTTACACTCAGGGAAGTAGCCCTCACAGTGAGGACTTCACAGGCTTCTTACAAAGTGCACGATGCTCTGTGCATGGCGCATGCACAATGCGCACACCCTCAGCTTCCGATGACTGCTGCTCAACTTGTGCAAGCGATGTGTCTGCCTGTACTGTATGTTGCAGTAAAGCCCTCTTTTTTCTGCAAAACAGGACAACCTTTTCCTCTTTTCTTCCACCTTACTTGCAATGTGTCTCAGACAAGCTACAGCAAGCGTTAAATGTGCACACAAGTGTCACGGCCATGATGCTCCTGCTGCCTTTGTCCACACACTGTCATAAAGAAATCGATGGCAATCCCAAACAGAAGAGATGAGAGAAAGCCTCTGAGCTCACCTCCTAGCTTTTGTTTTATTCTATTCACACAGCTCTGCATTCAGCCTACCTGTGCTTATTGCACTGTGATACAAGCTTTGGTGGTCGGTATTTCAGCTGGCAAAGCAGAGCACTTCAAAGTGACTTACAGAAAGCTGTCTCATGTAATCTTCAAGTCCATAAAGCTCAAATTGAGTGGTTTTTGCTGGTTGGCATGTGATATCATAATTATTTTTCAAGTAAAAATCTGGTCCCCATATGATCTTCCACATAAAAAGCCAATTTGGGCCAGAATTCAGGTGCTCCATCAATTTTTCAAAGACCCTATTTCACAAGAAAAGGAATGCTGACGGGCTGATGTGGGTCCTCCTTTTCTGACATGTACACACATTTTAGAACCTGGCTTAGATATTTCACATCTGTCTAGGAATAGTCATAATTCTTATTTTTTGAGTGTATTGTTATTGGTTCTGAAGTGTTTTGTAGTTACTGATCAAGAAGTTTTTCAAGAGAATACATACCAAAGTCCCCATTCTCCTTCATGATGGTCTTTTTGCTGAATGTGAAGGTGTCTCTGTGATGTCAGGAGCTTGTAAGGTAAGGAAAGGAAAGAGGGTATTTCAATAGAATGCTCTGATACCACACTTATTAGATATAGTACTACCCATCATCTGAAAGCCCTGTAAAAACTCAAGAATGTTTGAAAGTACCGGTGAGATTGACTAAGCACGGCATGGCGTTTCTGCCAAGTTCAGCCTTTCCAAAATCTTATCTCTGATGAAAAGACTGACTTAAGCGCTTGGAAGAGTTTTTGGAAATTGCTGTTTGGGGAAGGTTCTATTAACCCTGGGGTTTCTGCCATGATTGCCTTGGCTCTTATTCTCCTCTTCATCATGATATCTAAACCCGTGTTTTCAAATACGAGGTAAGAACTATATATATCCATTTGTCTCTAGGAACTGGGACTTAAAACACCCCAAGCAGTGCTGGCAGTTGCGGCACAGTGCTGTGAAAAAACTCCAGATCATCCCTGGGCTCCCATCTTTGTTTCTAAATTATTTTCTCTCTCTTCTTTCTAAATTATTTTCTCTCAGCTCATGGTGGTTTCTTTTGTGACTCCTCACCCAACTTGTTTACTGCAGCCTGGTCTAGATTTTTGGGAAGAAAGAATCCGTGTTGTTTGAGAAAGGCCTTGGTGAGGAACGGGCTGTTGTAACATACTTGAACTAGGAGATCTTACTAGGAGATCATATGTGCATGACAGCTGGGATCACGCTCCTAGGCAAGTTCTGCCTCTTTGTCTTTCACATCAAAATTACTATTTAAGGCCGATATTTGAATTGTCTCTGAGGGAGCCAGAGCAGATCTAAATTAAACACAAGGCTGGAAAGAACAACTGGCAGGAGCACAGCTGGCCATGAGCTCACAGGGCATTGACACAGCAGGGCCACGGAGGCTGCTGCTGCCCACAAGAGAACAATACAATTTGCAAATTGCTTGTGATGTTTATCATCATTCCAGAAGAATGAATTGTAATAGTCTATGGGGCCAATTAAGTCACCACTTAATTGGGAAAGGCAATGTTGTCCCTAGCAGGAAATGCATCCATTACAGCGCGTGTTCAAATTAAAGGATTCCGGTGTGATCTTCAGGCTCTCTGAATTGTCAGCAGTTGACGGGACTTGGATAAGAAAATGTTGTGCCATATTTAACAAACCTCCGCCGTTTTCAGAATATTTGTTTCTCTAATTAGATATAGGAAACTGTATGGCCATTTCATAAAGACCTGTGAGATCCTGAGAAAGGCAGCAGTTTCGCGGCTGGAGGAGGAGATAAGGTTTACAACCATTTTCACCAGCTCCTCATTAAGGCCAGCGGCCCCTCCTTATTGATTAAGGGCACTAATGGTTTTCTTAAAGCTTGAAGCTTGTTCTTACTGACCCTGTGGCACGGAGATGACCTAAAACCCACTAAGTTACCCAACCCTGCACACAAACTGGCCCCAGTCTGTTTCTCCCAGTAACTAAATGCTGCTGTGCTAGGGACACACACTTTAAACTGCAGTACACAGCCCCACTTCGTAATCTACGGAGATGAACAGGCATCTCCAGGGCATGACTGAACACACCCGACACGGGAACCCTCCTCAAGAAATGCCTCTTTCTCTCCACTGATTAGAGGCTTGAGCCTCAGGTCGTGACTCCAGCTGCCATACCTCAGCAAATACCTGGCGTGACTTGCAAGTCCAGACCACGGAAACTAGAAGGTATTTATATAATATACTTCATGGAACAGGTATTACAACATTCTAGAAATAATGGTACCTCATGAGGATGTACATTTTCACTTTCGTACCTGAGATCCCAAAGCCACTGGAGTTACCTGTCGTGATCTTACAAAGGGGCAAACAACCAGCACAATTATGCTAAACATAATCTAGAAAAAGACAGCCTGGGGCCTTCATAAAGACCTGAATTCCCTGTACTCGTTTCTCATTTTTCCTGCTCTATGTACGTAGGCAAAGAACTTGGAAAGCTTGGGTATCTTGAAGGAGCATGTACTTATGAGGCTGGTGGTTGACGGACTGCCGCCGTGCAGGGATTCAGAGCTCTGCGTAAAGGATCTGCATTTTGAGGAGGTGCCAGTGAGGATTTACCTCTCAAAAGCACCAGCTGCAAGCAAACGGAGAGGAGTCATCTTCTTCCATGGAGGATGCGGGATTTTCGGAAGCATCAGTAAGGAACTGGAAGAAAAAATATGATTATTTAAGACTGTTAACCACGTATTTTTAAAAACTCTCCTTAACCTGAGAAGTGACTGAAGCTTAGTTTGAGAGATAAAAAGCACTTAGTGTTTTGTTTCGTAAACTCTCTAATCTGCATTTATTTAGTACCTACATTATTTTTTTACAGGACAGAGCAATCTTTATGACAATGATACTCCTTACAGTAAGCAGTGCTGGTAAAGAAATAAGTTATTTTTTTTGGTCTGAAGACCTGACAGAAGTTATTAACACCTGCAGCCCTCCCCCTGCTCTCTGCAGCGCATTTACTGGGACTTCTACACACAATGTTCACGGCAGTTCGGGCGGCGCACAGCCGCCGTTTTAGAATGTATGCCTTGATGCACGTACTTTAGTTATGGTGTCCGTTTCGTCCCAGTTTAATTGCTTAGAGAAAGCAGATAATTGCAAACATGGAATTTACAAAGAAACTGTTCTACAGGCAGTAGAGATGCACACATCTTAAATGGCATTAGAATTCTGTAATTGAAAGAATACACCATTGAGTAAACACCTGTAAACCAAATCTTCTGCGTGCAGCAAATTCAGAATTAAGGTGGAAGGAAAAGTCAACATGTCTTTAAATACATGAAAAGAGCCATTTTCCTGCCCAGAACTTTACCATGGAATAACTGTATAATTAGACACCGTGACACAATCTGGATGCATTAGATTTCTGTCGGAATTAGCCACACAGAAATACAGATTTCACAGGGCATGTCCCAGCTGCTCCCTTCATCTCTGCCTCAAATCCATTTAGACATGGCTGCCATACCACGATCAGCTCTTCCACAGCACAGTGATACCACACACCCAACTCAGACTCCCATTTACTATTTTAAATAAGTTTTCACAAAGTTCTCAAGCCATTTTATCCCTTACAATGGCTCTTAGCAGTTGTGCACAATGATCCCAGAGCGGATCACCCAGTTCCACCCCCCGCCACGGGCAGGGACACCTCCCACCAGAGCAGGGTGCTCACCGCCCCGTCCCCCTACATGTGTGAACTTTCCCGTGTGTCCTCATCACCAAACTCTAGACTAGTTTCATCTTAGAGAAAACGTGGCCAGCTCCCTACACAGGCAAGGGGCCCGCGTTCCATCATGGCAGTATGCCGAGGGTGGGAGAAAAATAAAAAAGGGTGACATTGCTTCCATTATTGTAAGATATTAATTACATTAACAACATTTCTGCTTCAGGAAGCCATGAAAGAATATGCCGGTACATAGCCAGAAAATCCAATTCGGTGGTTGTGTCTGTCGGGTAAGTGAGCTCCAGCCAGCGTTGCTCCCAGAATTAGACAGTTCCTCCACGTCCCCGCCTTGCTCCCCAGCGCCAGTGCCCACCCTGTACTTACATTTCCTCAAATGTAAGAAAAGAGACTGAGCTGTGCTGTTGTCTACCCCTGAGCTGCTGCTTTGTGTGAGCGAGCACGTGCCATGAAATGATGGTGAGAAAGACCTGATACAGGTTTATAAAGTTCCAAAAGTAACCCCCGCCAGCTGCTTGCTCATTTTACATCATTATCACCGCAAAAATCTTTGCCTTTGCTCTTTTCCCAGTTTCAGCTGTTAATATTTAGGGGGCTTTGGAGCTAATTTTAAAGAGTAATATACCTAAAATTTAACATTTAAAAAACCCACCCTGCATGGATCAGTGCTTTCTCTTAAAAGATGTTTTGCTTATGGAAAAGAGCTGATGGCATGAAGAAACTTTAGTTTCCAACAAATTCTGCCATAAAAACATCTATTACTAAAGAATTCTATTAAGTTGGGATGAACTGGTTTTGAGAACGAGTTACGTATTCCATATCTTTTCTGGGTAAGTCACGATGTGTTTAAAGTGACACTGAAATAAGACGTTGATGTCCTTTTACTCCCTAGTTGTTTTATTTATGAATCCTTGAATTAATTTCACGGAAGTGACAAAACAAACGCAGAAGCCATGCCTTTCAGCAAACAGCAAAGGGTTACGAGAGAATGCCTGCACTGTTACATTGGTAGCATTTATTTCTTCATTATTGAACTTAATCTTCTCCAGAAAGCCCTAAGACCACAAATACAGAGAATAAAGAACCATGGCTGTCAAAAACGTAGTCTCAAAGTAGTTTTATATGTTACTGGAATCAAATTACAACACTTTAACTCAACTGAGTATCTGCCTGTTACACCTGCCTTGCTTTTCATTCTATGAAAGTCAGTTTAAGAAAAATCTGAAGAGGTTGTTATGGAACATCACCCCCCTGTAATTCACTTGTTCCAATTAATAAACTACAGGAACGAATTGCCCACCAGAAGCTATTCTGTCAGCACAGCGCATTTACTCTAGGGAACTTTATAAAGTAGTAGATTATTAAATTATTGGGCTTTTACTCAAAATGTAACCATAATAATAACAGACAATACTGTACTAATACATAATCACCGAGTAATCCGTGTCCCCAGTGTAAAAGCTGAGGGTGCAGGACGTGGCAGGTCCCATGGGGAGGCAGGGGGTTCGGGCTCTGCGGGCACAGGAGCAAAGCCCAGCGGAGAGCGGGAGCTGCCACCAAGTGATTCTATGATTCTATGAA